CAAATTAATGGCATTTAAAAAAAAAAAAGAGTTAGCGGCTATAACATCAGCCTTCTTCCGCTCAATTTACTCCTATTGGTGCTCTCAGCCCTAATCTCTTACTTAAAATTCTATTCGAGCCACATCCTATTAAGAATCACATACGTAATTTGTAATTGAATTAGTAAAATACATATTCTTTCGCCTAATATAATATCAAAGAGGTTCATTCAATCCAAATCAAATCAACTTTTCCACTCCCCCAGGAAAAATGTTGACTGCTGGTTCTTTGTCCACCTCAACCTCAAACTTTTCCTGTGAATCATCCTCCCCATTACCGCATTGGCCAGATAAAACCCAAATCAAAATGGATTAAGAACTCAACCAATGACCATCTCACACAATACACACCTTAGCTGTCCTAATTGACCCTTCAATCATATTCCCCTCACACTTAATTTATTCCCCATGCAATTAAACCTTGACAGCTTCCACCTTTAATTTTGTTAGAATGATACTATAGGAATAATTTTTTGTTTTATTTTTTTATATAACTTCTGCATATCATTAAATTAGTGGATATTTTCAATATCACAGATTTTACATGAATTAAAAGAACCAATCATTTTAATGACATATTAGATTGTATAAAAAAAATAAGATAAATTAAAAAAAAATTTCCTTTTCTTTTAATGATTCATTAAGAGAGATTTAGAATAATTAGAGATTAGTTAATTAGATCAGTCCCATGTGGCAGTGTCATGTTGGAGATCTACGTGATTGGCGGTCCGATCGTACACGTACCGCCATCTGATGGTGTGCTGGTACCCCTGTTAGTTGTTTTATGGTGACTCTCAGCTTGCATCCTCGCTCACTTCACATGGTTTGGGGAAATGGTCTAATAGTAGGTTGAGAACTTGAAGGACAAAACAACAAAGGATTTAATATAATAAGCTAAGATAGCATCAATGATGATTAAGCTCTTTAAACACGGATTGGCCCTACTAAAACCATGCTAATTGGCCATCTGTCTACACCTTTTGGGCTTGCCCGTATATTACGGTACATTAGGTTAATATCTCTTAAAGAAAAACTTGGAAAACTTAAATGTATAGTTTGTTTGGTTTATGGGAAAGGGAGAGCAGAGGACAAGGAGAATTTTTTTATGTAAATAATAAAAAATTAAAAGGGAGGGAGAGTGGTTTTTTATTTTTTGGCTTTATTTTATTTTTTAATATCTTAATTTAATCAAACAATAAGAAAGGAGAGGCAAGCTCTCCCACAAACCAAATAAAGGATTAGGTTTTGCTTGGGAATGCTTCATATAATATTTTTTTGTAGTATTATATATAATTGTAAATTTATATAAATAATTAATTTTGATTAATTATTTTATAATATATTATATGTTTTTTGTGATAGAAAATGATGAAAAATTGTAAAATTAAAGCATAATAAACCATAACACAACATTTCCAAACAAAACCTTAAATATCAAGAAAAAGATTACGACTCTACTTGATTTAGTTATTCAAAATAACTTATTCTATTCAAATTGTTGTCTCTAAATCTAAGAAAATTAGTAGATGTTCTTTATAATTCTAACATTCCTACGTTTTGCTTCGGTTTAATTGTTTTAAATATCTTATTGTTGATAAACAAGAGTTAATAATGTTTGAATTATAGATAATAATAAATATTAATTATAAAATATTAAATGTAAACTATAATCCTTTTAAAAACAACTAAATTAAATGTAATCTTTTTAATTTAATTAGAGTTAATAACAAATAATTATAGTTAAATAGTTAAACCAAACACAACCTATATAAAGTAAACGAAAAATACAAAACGAATAAGAAAAAAACAGAGGTTCGTTTCTTACGTTTTGCTCGGTTTAGTTGTTTCAAACACCATATAAGAACCTCGACTGTTCTCGACGACGGCTTTTGTTCTCCACCTTCATTTCTTCCGCAAAACGGAAAGTATTATTCCGGCATGGGCGATCCCGGAGAATCTCTTTTGAATCGGAACAAGTTCAACCGATGCCAATCACACGCGCAGGACGAGCTGCAGAGCTTCCGGACCTACTTGCGGTGGATGTGCGTCGACCAATCCAGCTTCTGGACCGTCGCCCTATCTTGGTTCGTGTTCGTCATTTTCACCTTCGTGGTGCCGGCGATGTCACATTTCTTTCTCGCCTGCTCTACTTGCGATGCCAAGCACTCCCGACCCTACGACGCGGTTGTCCAGCTTTCGCTCAGCAGCGTCGCGGCACTCTCATTTATCTGCCTCTCGAGATTTATCAGGAAGTACGGGTTGCGGAGGTTCTTGTTCTTCGATAAGCTCGTCAATGAGAGCGAAACTGTGAGGAAGAATTACACGGGTCAGCTCCATGTAAGTTTTTTCTCCCATAATTTTGCTTGATTTAATCAGTTTGAGTAAAATTTCCTAATGGGCATTGTTGAATTGATCTTGTTTGTTCAAAATTTAATAAATTTATAACCATTTTTTCCCTAAGTTTTGTGTAGTTTAGGATCATTTGAGAATGCTTGAAGTCATTCTTGTTTTTAGGTATTTAAAAACAGGGGATTTCTGGGTAGAAATTCTTCAATTTCAGGTTTTTACTTCATTTTTCTCAATGATTTTCTGGCTTTCTTAATGATTTGAAACGGAATGAATATCCAAAATTCACTGATATGTTCTCACCGGTGATTGAATCGGATTGGTTTTGATTTTAGTCAGCCGAAATGGAAACTGTGATGCAGAGGAAATAGAAAGAAACGTTCACATACAGCCATAGGAAAAAATAGTATAATTCTAATGAATGAAAGGGATTTTATTCCTCTTTGGTGGGTCACAATTTACATAAAGAAGAACAATTTACGCTTTTCTAGATGTGTTTAATCCCAAAACCTAATAAATCTTTAGAAACTCCTAGAGCTTTGATTGTGCAAAGTAACTTAACAACAGAACATTTTTCCTTTTAAATTTTCAATCCATCTTTCTTAGATTCTTTTGGAATCATAAAAAATGAGAATGATACAAAGTTCTGATCTTGAATAACCCAGAACTATGTAAAAGAAATAGAATATTGGTCCCACTTGAGTAGTGGGATTTTTGTTGTTTTGGATCTAAACTTTTGTGGGGGTTTTTGTTGTTTCAGAGATCACTGAAGATTGTCCTAGTTTTTGTCCTCCCTTGCTTTCTAGCCGAGTCTGCATACAAGATATGGTGGTATGCCTCAGGAGCTTCACAGATCCCATTCTTGGGCATTGTTTGGCTAAGTGACACCGTGGCCTGCATGTTGGAGCTTTGCTCTTGGCTCTACCGGACCACTGTGTTCTTCCTCATCTGTGTCCTCTTTCGTCTCATTTGTCACCTACAGATCCTCCGCCTCCAAGACTTTGCTCAAGTTTTCCAGGTTGATTCCGATGTTGGATCTGTCCTGTTTGAACACCTTAGGATCAGAAGACACCTGAGGATCATTAGCCACCGCTACCGTGCCTTTATTCTATGGTGCCTGATCTTTGTTACTGGCAGCCAGTTTACCTCGTTACTCATCACCACAAAATCCAATGCTGAATTGACTATATACAAAGCTGGAGAGCTAGCTGTAAGTATTTCTTGCACTCTAAGTCGCATATTTTTGGGATTGAATGTCTGATGCATTTCTTGCCTTCCAAGATGAGATACATTGATTAGGGAGCAAATTTCTGAAAATCACTGATGCTTTTGTTCTCTTGTACACTTTTCGTAAATTGAAGTATCTTATGAAAACTGAACTTGTGTTTACAGATGTGTTCCGTGACTCTTCTCACGGGTCTGCTCATTTTACTTCGTAGTGCAACAAAGATCACACACAAGGCACAAGCTGTTACCTGCCTGGCTGCAAAGTGGCACGTATGTGCGACATTAGAGTCTTTTGATGCAAATGATGGTGAGACACCTACGACCCGTGTCACCACGAGCCATAACCAACCCTTTTCAGAGGCTTCTGGTGGCGAATCTGATAGCGAGGCTAGTGACGAGGAAGATGACTTGGACAACAACAAATTGATCCCTGCATACGCTTACAGTACCATCTCATATCAAAAAAGACAAGCTTTAGGTAAATTATGTCTCCTCAAATTTATTTCTTACCCATTTTGCTGCTTTTTAGAATTCAACCTTAGTAATGAGTTTCTTTTTTTAAATTTTTTTAGTGACATATTTTGAGAACAACAGAGCAGGAATCACTGTGTTTGGTTTCACATTAGATCGGAGCACGATCCATACAATTTTTGGGGTTGAATTGTCTCTTGTTCTATGGCTACTCGGGAAAACTATTAGCAATGTATAAAATAAGCTTTGCTCAACCGGCCTTAGTAGTAAAATCTCGGCATTGGATGGTTATAATGGTGCTGAGGGTCACCTTGGCAGAGAGGCAGGGATGAAGATGGTTGTGTAAAGGTTTCAAATTTGATTCCTTTTGTGTTAAGAGTTTTTATGCTTTGTATCTTCTTTCTTCTTTTGTATTTCTTGTGTATTTCCTTCCTAATATTATTAGAATCCATTTTTCTCATTTTTTTTAGGTAAAAAGATTACATAATTTTATATACAAAGAATTTCTAATTTTTTTGTCGGTAATAATTTTTTCACAAATGTACACATAATTCTATGAGATCAATCAGAATAAATAGTCAAATTAAAAGAGTTAGCAAGCATTCATCTAACATTAATCTCATCGTGATAAAGAATTAAAATGAATAATATCAAGCCTTCATTTTTTTTTATATTTTTTATTAACTCTCATTATCTGACACTCATAATCTCTTTATTCACAATAATCATATTCGAGACTTTAATTAAAAAAATTAAATTTCTTTCATTTAAACTAATAAGTCATCGATAATATTAAGCTTTCATTATGAAACATGATAAATGCATAATCATAATGACAATTAAAAAATAGATTATTTGGGATTTATAAATAATATATAAATATGAAAATCATAATTAGTTTTAAGGATTGAGAAAATTCTTTCTTTTTCTTCAACATTTGGGTTAAGGTTAACCACAGAATTTGAAAATGTGAAAATCTATTTTGTCCCTTTCACTTTTGGCGCCAGGCAACCGCCAAAACAGATAACAGTTAAGAAACTTGCAGCATCTCCATTCTTCAAATCGACGTCGTTCTCCTCCAGTCCCAACAGCGCAGCACGGTTGAACCTGCAAAACGACAACGTATCCAAGCCACGTTTCTCTTTCCTTTCACTTTGCCAGAGAACAAAGCAAGTGCCTGTATTTGTTTCTCCTGTGATTTCTTTGCTTCGAATTTCAAACGTTCGTTTCGAAAATCTTTGCTCATTGAAGACAGCTGAAACTGTTACCAATGGAGATTGGTGCGGGTCTGATCGGGTCCTGCTCCAAAGAGCACGAAAAGATCTACCAGGAGTGGTTCAATTTTGCTGATTCAGGTATTCCTTTTGTTCAGTTCATCTTCTAGCTCTAATTCGAACATAGTCTTTGATTCTCAGTTTTTTTTTTCTTGTGTAATAGATAATGATGGCAGAATCACGGGTAATGATGCCACCAAGTTCTTTGCCATGTCAAATTTATCCAGACAAGATCTTAAGCAGGTCATCTTTGCTAATCTCATATACCCATTTTTCGAAATTTTGTTCAGTACGTTCTATTTATTTCTACAAAATGATTTCTTAGTTAAACCCATGTAGCAAGTTCAGTTTTTTCTCTGAATAACAGCAAATCCATGTGTGCTTCTCTAACGAATTGCGTTTTGTTCATTTTGGTTTCTTTAAGGTGTGGGCAATTGCAGATTCCAAGAGACAGGGATATCTTGGTTTCAAAGACTTCATCATTGCTATGCAGGTTAGAGACTTTAGATTGATTTTCTTGCATTCTGACATTATTATTATTATTATTATTGTTATTATAGAATCTTAACCCGTTTTACTTTTGATGTGTAGCTAGTTTCTCTGGCACAGGTTGGACGGGAAATAACATTTGATCTCCTCAACAGTGATGGTATGATGATCAGATTTGGGATTTATTTTTATACCTGTTAATTCTTATATATAGAGTATCTTATTCGTTCCTAACTGAATGGTTTTACCTGAGTTGTAGATGACTTTGAGAATTTAAAAACTCCTGTAATGGATGGTTTGGATATTTTACTTGAAGTACGTATGCTACTTTTTCACTCTTTCTGAAGTCTCTGTTTCATGTGCCTTATGTTGTGAAAATTCTTGATCCCTTCTTTAACTTATTTTGAAGAAGAAACGTTCTTTGAATTCAAGTGATCCTGATCTAAGTGGTAAGATGTTTCTCATTTTGTGCTTACTGCTTACCATGGTTTGGTTGTTTTATATTTATTTTCCCTGCTGGGTGTCTCAGGTAGTTTGCCTGTGCAAGCATCAATTTCAGCTCAATGGTTTTCTTCAAAACCATCGAAAAAGGTTTGTCTTGTAACTGCATGATTGTCCACTCATGTTGTCTTAAATAATTTTTCTTTTGAAGATTTGTTCTTGTTCTTGTCAAGTTTTGCTACACCTATCTGTATTTAATCTTCCCTTTCCCTGTGTTGTGTCTACTTTGGTGTCCAACAGATACCTTTATCCTCGGTTACATCAATCATAGATGGCTTAAAGAGACTTTACATTGAGAAGCTGAAGCCTTTGGAAGTTACATACCACTTTAATGATTTTGTATCTCCATTACTGGTGAGTGAGCAATGGAGCACTAACCTTTTTAATTAGTTCTTATATCTAAATGTCGTTGGCAATGCATAAAATTTTTTTAACAGCATCCTTAAGTTTGTCTATTTTGTTGATTTCCTTTTATTTCAGACAAATAGTGATTTTGATGCTAAACCAATGGTTATGCTTTTGGGTCAATACTCCACTGGGAAAACAACATTCATCAAACATTTGCTAAAAACTAGTTACCCAGGTGAGTAACACTCTCTGCTGTCCATTTTATAAGACGTGTTTCTTTTTTCTTTCTATTCACGATTCTTTTTTCATTGTTTTTCAGGAGCTCACATTGGACCTGAACCAACGACTGACAGATTTGTTGTTGTTATGGTACTGACAATTCCATATTATCTTATCTTGCCACTAGTAGTCTTATATTACTTGTCATTTGTTTTAGATCAAACCTTAGTAATAAAAACTAATCCTCAATTTTTTTTTTCTATGCATCCTTCCCATTCTGATCATCTGATGCTAGTGTAGAATTTTCTGATATCTCAAGCAGATTGTTATATTTTCTTTCATTTGTGCAGTCGGGACCTGATGGAAGAAGTATTCCAGGGAACACTGTTGCTGTCCAGGCAGACATGCCATTCAGTGGCCTCACTTCTTTTGGAACTGCATTCTTGTCAAAGTTTGAGTGTTCTCAAATGCCACATCCTGTGAGTTCTTTCTTGCACATTCTAAAATTATCATGGGAAGCTTCTGGTTGTGCTTCTTTTGTTTCTGAAGAATAAGTTTTCAATATGCTTGAAGCTTTTGGAGCACATAACATTTGTGGACACGCCTGGAGTTTTATCTGGTGAAAAGCAACGGACGCAGCGAGCCTACGATTTTACAGGTGTAACATCTTGGTTTGCTGCCAAATGTGATCTTATTCTACTTCTCTTTGATCCTCACAAACTTGATGTTAGTGATGAGTTCAAGCGTGTAATTTATTCTTTACGTGGTCATGATGACAAGATTCGTGTGGTTTTGAACAAGGCTGATCAAGTTGATACTCAACAAGTGAGAATCATGTATCTCTGTTGTTTCTTATTTCATAGTTATGCACACACTTATTTTTCAAAGGTTGGGTTGGCACTTAGCACTAGTATTCTAATTAGCTAGGCTCGGCCTTCTATTTGTAGTTGATGAGGGTTTATGGAGCATTAATGTGGTCACTTGGAAAAGTTCTTAATACTCCTGAGGTTGTGCGGGTCTATATTGGGTAAGGTCTTTATCCTTTTTTGTTTTTTGTAATCAGCAAAAATAAATGTACTCATTTATAGGGAGTAAGTTCCTTTTCTTTGTTTGTTTTGTGATTTTCACTAAGATTTAGGTTAGCTGCAGTATGTTGCATAATCAGAAAGATCTTGCTTTGATGGATTGAATATTATGGTATCTAATGACAGTTATCTATAGGTTTAAAACAAGTTGACAGATGGGGGCCATATGGGGCATCTTTTGCAACATTTCTTCTCTTTTTTTGGCCATTCATTTTAACATTCTTAGGCCGGACTATTTCATCTTTTGATTCTCTTGCCATTAATTTGGCAACATTTTATACATTTGACATTTCTTTTGGCATAACATTGCTGGAAATTTGTTTTCCCGCATTTTCTGCGAAGATGGTAGGCTTGTTCCTAAGTTAATGAATTATGGTGTGTCAGCCACAAAAAAAAAAAAAAAGAGTTATAGTGGCCCTAGGTCTTCTTTGTATATACATTCCTATTTTACATCTAGATGATGCTCCTTGTTCTCATACCTTGATGGTATTGCTGTTTATGTATTTGGCAGTTCCTTCAATGACAAACCTGTGAATGAAAATGCTACTGGTCCAATTGGGAAAGAGCTCTTTCAAAAAGAACAAGAGGACCTTCTTTCTGATTTAAAGGATATTCCTAAGAAGGCTTGTAATCGTCGAGTAAGTTGGACTTACCCACTCCTCTCAATGATACAACATCCACATCATCTTAGAGAACACCTAACAACATTTGTTTGTCACAGATAAATGAGTTTGTTAAGCGAGCCAGAGCTGCCAAGATACATGCTTACATTATCAGTCATCTTAGAAAGGAAATGCCAGCTATGATTGGCAAAGCCAAGGCTCAACAAAGGCTCATCAATAATTTGGAGGATGAATTTGCTAAGGTATCCCCTACCAAGCACCTGAGTGATGCTTATAAAGATGCATTATAAGACTGCATTGATTAACCATACTTGTATTTAACTTTGTTATATACAGGTCCAAAGGGAGTTCCATCTGCCTCGCGGGGACTTCCCAAATGTAGAGCATTTTAGAGAGGTTTTGAGCGGTTACAACTTGGACAAGTTTGAGAAGCTAAAACCAAAAATGATTCAAGCGGTTGATGACATGCTGGCTTATGATATCCCCGAATTATTAAAGAATTTTAGGAACCCCTATGATTAAACACTGATTACCATAAACAGAGATGACTTGCTGTCATATTGGCGAGTCAGGTTCTCTTTTCTTTTCAGTCATACATCTGCTGTCTATTCTTGCCACTGAAGTTGAAGCTTCTTAGTGCTTCATTTTAGCTCCTTTCAGGGTTTTCTGGTTCAACTAAATGGGTCTCTTGTGTAGGCTTCATGGATTTTAGGACTTCCACAGGAAAGAGTAATAATGTTTCCATTGTCTTGTACACCTACCACAGAATTCACATCAGTGCTTTATTATTTAATTTAATTTTCAGTATCACAACTGCAAAACAGGAACAATTAGACACTTGTTTACAGTAACAATAACCACCGTCTTCTTTGTGCATGCATGTGCTCTGCTTATCTTAATCATTACTCATATCTAATGCAATGTAATAGTACAAATGCAATGCCATGGTACTTAAGACTCAGATAAGATCTAGAGGGCATACCAGAATTATCATGTTTTGGTTGGCGAAGCTGCTTTTCCTCCGTTCTTCTGCTATTACTAGTTTATTACTCATATTGGATAATACAATAAGGGTGGGGTTATTGCCATATCCTAAAATGTTAATACTACACTTTTTTAATATAATTATTTATTATACTCTTACATTACATTTTTTCTTAAAAATTTATATTTTTTGTTTCTTAATAAATTAAGGAATATAATAGTTAATTAAAATAAAAAAATATGACATTAGTAATTGAGGGTGTGACAATAACATCACTCATATATTAAATACTAATATTTCAATTTTATTATTATCTTAAAAGAGATAGGAGTAGTGAAAATGGAAAG